CTAGAATATAGAATATTAGCCTCTGATTACATTTGAGTGAAAATGATCTCACTCTTAATAAAACTCAAGAAATTTGTTCTTCAATAAAATCAAAGTAAACCTTCAGTTAGTACTAAGACTTTGTTATCTCATTCGCCAGAAAATTGTGCCTCAGGGACTGACATAGACTATAAGATGCAAGCTGGCACACTTGAATTATGTTTTTGCTATTTGTTCACCTGTGGGAGTCACAGTATTATTACTTTTCTTTGGAAATGGTTAAAGGTTGTAAGTATTATGAGCTTAGGTTGTCTGTGGTCTCTTCTAAAACTGCTATTGTGCCAATTTTGCACACGCTCATGTTTGATTCCAGAATTATTACTACAGAGAGCAGTAAAACCTTGCTGATGCTATAGGAAATATCATTATTCTGGAGCTAGAGAGATATATATATCTATATATATAGATAGATATATTATACCAGCACAGGTTTTACTGCATTTGGAATTGGCAGATTGGTAGCACTGAACTAGGGTCCAACAAGGAACAAATTGCACTGTCAGCTGCTGGCTTGATTTGCATTTCACATTTCTTGCTTAGTTCTCAGGTTCATCAGCATTCTCGATGCTTCATCAGAAGCCTGTTAAAGCCAAGGTAGAAGTATTTAGAGAACGCAATTCATAAACCATGCTTGAAAATATTCCCCTGGAGTTGCTAAATTACAATAGCGGCTGCCAGGGCTTTTGAAGACAAAATATTTTTAAATGATTGGTATATACACATGCACGCACACACACTTACACTATCTAACCAGTCAAAACTCCTTGTGTTTCAGAGCACATTAGGAACATAGGATTGGAGCTAGGCATGTATCTCATGCTTTTATCCAGCTGCTTTGAAGCCATTAGCATATTTATCCTACTCCGTGAGCCTGGACTCCCACAAGTGACTGGACAGCAGAGGTTAAGCTGTAGACAAAGCATCATTGTATGTTGCAGTAGGAGTACTTTTAGGTAACACCATATGAGCTTACCTGCATATATGCGTACTGTGTAGTGAAAGTCACTCTGGCCTCAGAAACAGGAGAGCTACATGGCTGAAGCAGCTCTGAAACAAAAGTTTAGCTTTTCTGATAAGCTGCTGGTTGGGGCTCAGAGTGTCACATAACTTGTCTGTAGGTGAATTGAAAGTCCCTGCGCTGCTTTGTCCCAGTGAGCAATGGTGGTGATGTGGTGGTTGTGTCAGTATTCATAGCACCTTCTGATTTAAACTTCAAAATAATTTCCAGAGACAGAGAACAACCTTTATGCTACTTCTTGAAATGATTCTGTGATCCTCCTGAAGGTGTGTCCTCTCTTCTGGCCTCTCTTGGAAATACTATTGAAGACTCTTCCATCTCCTACATGTCTCCACTCTGTTATTGTGGCCTTTTCAGTTCAGATTAGCTAAAGGCACAGTAGGAAAAGGAATTGTTTTCATTGCTATGTTCTCTTACATCTAGGTGAGATTGAGAAAAAATAAAACACAGGCTGAGAACTGTAAACAGCACAGTAGACTTCTACAGGCCCTGTGTACAGAGCTGATTTTTACCACAGGAGCTCTGATATGATCATTATTGCTAAGTGGGCAAACATAATCTCCTAGAAATACAAGCCTGAAATGCTGTGCTATTTCACGTCACTGGCAAGGATAACATCATTCAACAGCAATGTTGACTTATTGCGGTACTTAGTAACACAGAGACATTTCTATAGTGCCCATAATCAGGGTGCTGAAGAGGCGGCCTCTCATTCAGCATTTGTCTGAGGCCATTTCTGACAGGAAGAATAACTTTAAGATTATTATGAATGAAGAAGTGATAAAGGAAAATTTCTACTATTGAACTAAGCAACTGAGGCTGGTAAAGTGGAAATAGTAATTTAGTGTGCTTCAGTTATATCAGTCTCTTCCCTTTCCACACTACCATACTGCTCCAAAAAGAAGGAAAAATAAAAAGCAGTTCTTTCTAATGGGCTACAGGCCCATTATATTGAGCATCACAGGGCTGAGGGCTGAGATCAGGTTATCTCAACAGGTTACTGTACATCAGCTGATCCACAATAACTCTACGTGTACACGGTCTTAACCAGTGACAAATGAAAAATAATGTGACTTATGTTATCTTGCAGTGAAGGAGGAGTACAGTGAATCAAACTACTGTATGATTATGCAAGGGCTTAAAAAACCCACTATCTACACACAGAGGTGCTTATTGCATCTCAGCTGACACATGGTGACTTAGTGCTTTGTGATAGTGTCATCATCTGTCTGGGCCCGGGCACTATCAGGTCTTTGCATCATATTTTATTTTGTGGTTCTAAAGGTCTGCACACAGTGGAGTTAAAGTCCATATCATGTTCAGAAGTCAAACTTAAATATGGATATTATAATAAGGAAAACTTAAACTCAAAACCCAGATTTGCTTACTTGTTTTATGGGAGGTTACATAAATGCCTACAGGTGCTAAAGAAGTGTAAAAAAAAAAATTAAATGTATCCTTTAAATATGGAGGTTTTCGTGTTCTCAGCTACACGAACACACGATAAATAGAGCAAAAAAAAATCACTATAGTGCGTTAGCAACTGTTAGGGTGGTATTCTTTGCTATTGAAGCTGCATGCTTGGTGTATGTGCACAGTACTTCTGTACAAATGTAGAGAAGTCTTTTTTTGCTGAAAGTATATATGTATCAAGTAAGGCTGAAGGTCTGCCTTAAAGTCTGTAAAGCATTCATTTCAATCGCCAATACCTGTCCATTTACAAATGGTAACTTGGTAACCATTGCAGCAGCAAGTTCTCTTATTTTGGAAAAGCTGCTGATATATTTGCGTTTTGTGCCACTTCATTTTGCCTGCACCTGTCCTTTTCACTCAAAGGTGGGTTTTTTCGTCATCATTTTTTCACCTAAAATAATATATGTATATACATATACATAGCAAGTAGGAAAGCAGATATGTAAAGCGTATGTTATGAATAGTATAATTATGAATCACTGTAAAATTAGTCAACTTTTTTTAATCCTCAAAGCCTTTGTGATTTCTTGAAAGTACTGTGAAAAGGTGCATATGCCATTATCATTACATGCTGGTTTTTTGCGTTTCACAGATTAGTAAAAGAGGAGATTGCTTTAGAGCCAGGACAACGCTATATTTCTTTGTATACATTTTTGTATAAAGAGAGTAAGCATATGAATGAAACAGGTGAAGCAAATGAGCTACTGCATCCATAGGAGAAAATGGGTGAAATCTATTTTGTGTCATGAACCAGATGAAATAACATAGATAACTGTGAGATTGCTCTGTAACTCACACGAGAGGCAAAAGAAGGTGAGCATGGGCTGGATGGGACAGATGCCTTACTGGCACCCTATAGGTATGGAAAAGTAGGACCAACTAATAGAGAAATGTTAAAACAATCCAAAAGGAAAAAAGGGGAATGTTGAGAACATTATATAAGCAACTCAGCAAATAAAAGAAATACTATTCAGTTACTCTGCAAATCTCTGGAGGGCATGGTCCTTTTATTGTTTGAAAAAAAAATCATAACTGAAGAGGTGATAGAGTAGTGCTAAACCACCAAGGGACTTTCTCCAAATGTGTTCAGCAGCTGCTCAATTGTGTAACTGGAATATGCAAGCGCTATTGGAAAATGAAGTCAGGTATTTAAAAAGAAAATAAAGTGGAAGGACTCCTCAGTTCTTCGCTTGGGAGACTTCCAGAGATGAGGAGCTTCAGGATACACTTACTACAGGGGGTGGTAACAGGGTAGTAAAAGAAAGAGAGAGAAGACACAAAATCTATATGGGAGGGATGAAGCTGGTTCTGGAAAGTTTGATATGAATGACCAAGAGGTACAAAGTGAAATATTTCATTGTGTTTCATCTGGTAGTGTAAAATCTTTAAGAAGTTTTTTAACTTTTAAGAAGGTTGTACCAGTACCAATAACTTGAAATTTCACATAGAATTGCCACTTATTATGCACAATCCCCTGGTCTCATACAGTGCACTGCTTTTCTTTTTTCTCCTCAATTTATTAAATATCCTTGTTCAGGAATAGAATTGATTTTATAGAAGAAAAAAATCATGAAGTCCTTAAGTTAAACTTTTAATAGACACTAAAAGACTTGTTAAAATGTAAATGTTCTATTAGAGTGAACATCTTAATAATTAAAAGACAATAAAATGTGCCAATATCACAATCATCTGGATAATCTGCGGCTTTGGTCCTGAGTATGAACATGTGTGGGAACTCCCTTTAGCCCTAGACACACTCAGGCACAGGAGTTTACAGGCAAATCCCAGAAAAAAAATCAGAGCCTCAGTCCTCAGTGGGAACAAGATGCTGTCTCTGTGTCACAAATGCCTTTCACTCTGGCTCTGATTAGGAAAGTCCTTGTTAGTCAGTTGCTCTGTTCTTGTCTTAATGATTCAGAGCCACCACAATCTGAGGCACAAAATCTTTCTGTTAGGAAAAAAAAAGTTTCCTCCTTTGTTATAATTTATGAAAACTCTGAGTATGAATCAGGTTTGGAGAAAGGAGATGCAGGGTTGGGCCTTGGCTTTTATAGCCAGAAAATCCTCATACCTATTCCAAGTGGCACTGCAAGGCTTTCCATTTTAAAAGCCTGAAAAGGAAAATGGTGTGTAATCCTCATGGAAATGAAAGAGGGGACAAAGAAAGAAAGCTTGAGCTTTCCTTCTCCCCTCCTCATCTTCATTTGAATCTCTTGGAAAAGGAGAGAACTCAATTTGATGAAATAACTCATTTGGAATATCAATTATCCATCAAAGAGATGTCCTGGACTTACTGAGCTGTCAGGAAGCTTGTCACTGCCACATGCAAGCCTTCAGAAGTTACATCTGAGGAGGGAAGATGTTGTTAGAAA